CCCCACCTCCACAGACCCCACCTCCACAACCCCCACCTCCACAGACCCCACCTCCACGTCTTCACAGAGTTGGTCTGTCACTTGAACACCCTCGATTTCGACAGACGGGACTTGTTCGAGGTTGGAGACTTGGGCTTGTTCGAGGTTGGAGACTTGGGCTTGTTCGAGGTTGGAGACTTGGGCTTGTTCGCGGTTGGAGACTTGGGCTTGTTCGAGGGTAGAGACACGGGCTTGTTCGAGGTTGGGGACGCGGGCTTGCTCGAGATAGGAGACTCGGGCTTGTCTGGCGACAGACTTCGTCCCCGAACCCGTCTCGGTTGAAGTTGGTGGATCGGCATCGACAGACCGTAATTTGGGCGCGAACTTGCCGACGAACCTCTCGATGTAACTACCCCACCCGTCTGACAGGTCGGGGACGTCCGCTTCTTCCTTCGAATTGTTGGAGGGCCTCGTAAAGGATCCTGGGCGTATGTACATGTGGCAGTCTCCCGTGCCGTCAAGAGCGCCTTCTTGGGAAAGCTCTTCCGCCTTGACACGAAGGAATTTGAGGAAGTGCATACCCGCGGCAGTTGGTTCGGTGATTTTCGACCAAGGGTCGAAAACATCGACATTCTGAACTTGCTTGGGTAGCACGCCCATGGGCGTGTCCACTGGCTCGGGGTTGAGTGTAGAGTGCATGGCAGACGGGACATCACGGTGTCTAAGCCAGCAGGATTCCTTGAGGTTCATCCACATGTACGCTGAAGTGTGGTCTCCCCGACGTATGAACCAATCAAGCGAAAGTCGCGCCGTCGGAGAGCTGTCCGTAATGAGGACGACGAACACCCCACCGAGTCGCAATACCATGACATGCCCTGGGTGTTCCCGTTTACCCTGTGCAGCACGCACGATGGAACAAACCGCGGATGGCGAGTAAAGAACACACATGAGTGTGTTCATCGCCCCACGTCCCTGGAAGCGGTGCATCGTCTTGAGCCATACCCGGTGTGCACGTTTCCGGCGAAGGATCGCGGCCTCGAACCGGCCGGGAATCAAGCTCTCGATGGCGTCACAGCGGGCGTTGTCGCAGAATCTGCCGACCATGTCGGCGTATGGGAAGTCGACGAGGTGGTATGCAAGAGACCCAACCGTTTCCAATACCAACTCCTGATTCCGCACCTTGGGCATGTTGTTCAGGCGAACGTCGGTATGTGGGTAGGTTCTTGCTTTCTTGGCAACGGTGAAGGCGACCGATCTCGACACGGAAGACTTGTTCATGATCTGGACGGCTGTCAGGTTGCGTCCGTTGTCTACCACGGAACCCAACACCTTCTGTGACATAGAGACACGTTTCCTCTTGGGGGGGTGGCGCGTGGCGGGTCTTGTGGTGACAGTACCATTTTCATCCATCTCCGTGTGGGTCGGTGTTGCAACTGGAGCGGCAGACGAAGAACTTGCACATACCACCTCCATGTTGGTACAGGCGTTCTCGGTAGGGTCCACATTAGTACTCATCACCCAAGGCAAACCCAAAGGATTGTATGGAGATACTCGACCACTTTTGTGTAATGTTGCCACCGACGTGGGTGCGTGTGGCCTGTCGTAGACTTACTACCTTGGGCATAAAAGAAACCAAGTTGTGGGCAACTTGTGCGAACACGTATTACCACGTCAAATACAAACCAACACGTGTTTCCAGTTAAAAATGTTGAATCCGATTTTACTGTCCGGGGGGGGGGTTAATCAACTTTCTGAATAGATGGAAACACGTGGTACCAATCAGTTTAGCCAACTTCCCGACATTATGTCTGTTACTAGCGAACCATCTGAATTGATGGGAACACGTGTTGTCAATAATTTTAGGCAACTCCCCCAGAGCTTGTTTTAGATCATTAGCCAACCAGTGGGGTCTTTTCAATCGCCAGTGGGGTTTCTACATTTCTCAGTCACCGATCCAATATGTTTCCATGGAAACTGCTTCAGTCAAGGGAACAAGGTGGCCGCCCTGGACAGCGTGCGTGTCTGGCACGTCATATGTACGAGGAAGGGATGAAGGACGTCAAGATCGATCTCGAGCGTGAAATTGGGATGTGGTGGAACGCGGTCGTACAGCCTGAGAGACAGCCAACGACACGGAAGAGGGCCCTCCTAGTACGCCAATGTGAGTTGGAGTGCAACAAACAGATCAAGGCCGGGAAAAAGAAACATAAGATAGATACTTCCGTCGAAGTTGGAAATGTCGTGGGTCCGGTCGAGATTGTAATCGATTGAACCAATAAAGAAGAGTAACCACCACCATGTCTCTGTTCTATCATACCTGTACTAGCTCCACAAACCCTTGGGGGTATGGCTTGTGTAGATTGTTGCTGATTCGATGTCGGATTATACATAGCACACACGTCAAAAAAATTGCAATGCATACGAGGTTGACACCGACCAGGAGAATGTCTCCAAAAATAAAAAACTTCATCTCACGGGTCGTGGGTATGCCCATGTTTAGTAGATATCGTACAATTGACGGTTATATATGCGATTCTGCCGTGTGTCAAAAGAGACGCCTTTATCAGATGGGGGAGACGGGTGCAAAATATAAAACTTCTTCTCCCAGAGGATTCCCCAACTACACGTGGTTGACTAATGTCTATTGTGGGGACTTCTCGACCGGACTTAACACTCGAGGCGCTCGCAACCGAGCCAACCACCACCAAACCGAATGGACATCACGACAGCAGAGGTCGACGAGGCCAGGCTGAACTTCCAAGACGGGGTCTATGCCGTCCACCGGAACGTGACAGGCGAACAGAAACGCCTTGTTGCAGAGAAGATGCGGTTGGCCTCGGAGGACGTTCAAGGGGCTGCTGCGGATGTAAGGACCCGCCCACTAGCAGGCCCGTGCGGGCCCTTGTAGGAGGGCTTTCTTACTTACGTGCGGACTCTTGCGGGCCCGCGCAGCATTGCACCAAGTCTCTTACGCTGTGGTGCACACCCCTTGCAGCTGCTCAACTACAGCATCGCACTTTGCGAGGAACACAACTACGCCGAGGCCGCCAGCAAGCTTCGGTTCGTCGTAGATCTTCAGACGCGCAATACAATGGCACGGCCAGCACCGATTGTCCTTGTGCTTCTCCCCGCAGATCCTGCACAGCTCGGCGTCCTTGTTGATCGTCTTGGGCGACGTGTCGCCTTTGCAACTCATCCATCCTGAGTTGATGCGCGTGGGTGTGTGTGGGTGGGTGTGTGGGTGTGTGGGTGTGTAGGCGTGTGGGTGTGTGCGACAATGAAACATGAAACCCAACTTGACGTTTGACGTACGATACATTATCACAGTTTGGCGACCTGTCTCACATATAAAACAACCGACGATCACACGTGACCAGTTTCAAGTATGCATGGGATTGAAATTGTAAAGATCCAGGACCTCCTAACCCAACCCCTGCAACATTTTTTGAGGAACGGCAATGGCATGATGGTAAAATGCGATAATGCCCAAGCCAGTAAAAATGTAACTGCTTTTATGGGAGCGGTGTGCATCCACAGGAGGAGTGGACTTCTTGAGGCACCTGGGGGGACGAATGTCACTATTTACGAAGAACGCAGTGACAGAACTGCATGTGAATACATTTTCATGCTTCCACGGGATATGAAAATAGCCACGGCCCTTCACATGTATAAGAATGCGCTTGCGAGTGGCACATGCACTTGAGTGAAGAACTCAATTTCTGACACCAGCAACTTCTGGTGGCCGTCGTGCACGTTAGCCGCTGTCGAGTACGCACCCGGGGAACCTTGGCTTTTGTACACACATGATGAATGAAAGCTGCGCACTCTAAAAACTCCATCTCCCGGGTCGTGGGTATGCCCATGTTTAGTAGATATCGTACAATTGACGGTTATATATGCGATTCTGCCGTGTGTCAAAAGAGACACCTTTATCAGATGGGAGAGACGGGTGCAAAATATAAAACGTCTTCTCCCAGGGGGGTTCGAACCCTCGTCTCATGGATGAAAACCATGCGTCCTGACCACTAGACGATAGGAGATTTAGACTCGAATATACCACCTCCAATGAATCATGTGTTTGGGGGTACTGGTCAAACCCACACCCGAGGGGGTGTGTTTCTATCCGTATCATCTGCACACACCCACCCTCATCGTGGTTGTATAAAAGAGATTCCAAAACATCTCTACGAATTCTCACCACCGGCACGCTATACATGCATGGGTTCGATACCACACGGGGGTCTCCCAAATCGATACATCGTCCCGGAAGAAAGCTATGAACTCAATCCTACCAAAAGTGTCGCACTTCAAAAAACCATGGCAGTATTTCAAGGACGTGTTCTTCTTAAGCGTGCCGCGAAACGTCTTGGGGTCGCGCGAGAGTCGAGAGATCGAATTCTTCGATTGGGTGAAATGGCTGTACGGCGCACCGCTGTTCTGGAAAAGGGGAAACCAACCCGCAAGAGGATCACACCCACGAGTGACAGTTCTTGCGACGACACCGCTTCTGGGGATGACGTCTCTACGTTATTGGAGGTACCAGCGTCAGTGGAGGTATCAGCGTCAGTGGGGGTACTAGCGTCGGCGGTAACTACAGTTGTCGCAGGACCCCAACAAACGGAGGAGTGTGAGAGTGATTCGGACGACGAACCTATTGCATACAAGTTCCCTCTCGCCAACAAAATCCAGAAGAAGGCTACTAGTTTTACCGAAAGTGTACCACCACTCAACCGCGAACCACCCCCAGCGTCTGATGTTGATTCTGACGACCTTGAGTTTGGGATTAGATACGCCGCGGATCTATATGGCGATTATCTCCAAAGTGAGGATGAACATGATCTTACTTCAGAGGAACAAACCGAAGCGTCCGAAGCGTCAGAAGAGGAGCCGGACAACTACGAGCCGGAACACAACAGCAAGCTTTCGGCGAGTACGCGGGCACTTCTTAAAGGACTTCATGCTGCACACATGCCCGTAGATGATTATTGAGAAGTGGTCATATACCGTCGGTGTCAATGAAAAATGCAAAAATCACTCAGTTGCTTCCCAGTTGTCAGTCGAGACCAATTACAGAACAAGCAGTTGGATAGACAAATCTTATATTTAACTATTCCACCGCCACCGGGGTTTTGATATGACAGACCAGTTCAATCCGGCTGGGGTGTTTGGATTTGTACCCCCCACTGGGCGTGATGTCTACAAAACACCCCAGCCTTTTGACCAATTCCAAGATGACATGTGCGGGCACGAAACAGATTCAAGCGACCCCAGTCAGTGTGACGAAACAGACAACAAAGACACATCCCCACAACCGAAGAAACTGTCCATAGCCCGACGTCTACACCAAGAACATGCACTTCACCCACTCACAAATGACGAGACTAGTACATACACCTCGATGCTAGCACGCGACGAGGACGCTGAGGTGTTTGTCATGCCAAACCACCGAATAGACGATACCGGTAATATCAAGGGGTTCAGACTCGTCATAAATAGAGAAAGTGACTGCGTCCAATTGCCCATCACAAGGGAAATGTTTATGGGGACCACCTGCGTTGAGTGTGATCCATACGACCGAGACATCCACCCCGACGTTATTAGACTGCTGAACAACCCAGAAGACGTTAAGCGGGGCATCCTCAAGATGCTCTCAGAGATCGCGGGCCATAAATCGGAAGAAATGGCCAGTCTAAACCATATGCCCGTCTATGGAGATACAGAAGCCGTTGCTGTATCAGTCGATGACAACTGTACAGGCCGTGAGAGATGTGAGATATTGCTCGAGAATCTCATCGCAGATCGTATCGGACATCACAGTACAACCATGCGTGGACGGGATAGCCGTCCTTGGAAGTGTGATATGCCGACGTCGGTTGGCGTTTACCACGCGCATGTACGATCGCGTGATTCTGGGAGGCGTCATCATAAGATGTTTATTGTAGTGTCTGGTGGGTGCCGTCGCGCATCTGAACAGTTCTACAATATGAACCTCGACTTGCTTGGCAACGCTAGAGCACAGGAACTAGAGTCTTGTGAAGAGGCTTGGTGGCTACGACGTACAAGCACCCGCAGTCGCTGTCGAACAGTTCAAATGGTTGCCAATGCACTAAACTTGAGTGTCCCAGTGGCCGGTGACGTGTTTGACTTCGAGGACGGGGCATCCCTACCAGTCTATACAACCGACACACTTGACCACAATATATCCGAAACAGATGACGGGCGTATCGCCCTCTTTAACGAGTGCTGTGACAGTACGGCGATATCAAATGGTATCCTCTTTAGACTGCACCCCACAGAAGGCACTTGGGTTTTCCAAGGTTCGCACCAGAGTGCCGTCGGTACACTTAGTAACTTTGGGGGTGTCTTCGGACACCAAGAAACGTGTGGTGCATTTCCAACTGGTACATTCTGTCTATACGAGGACAACTACCAACAACAAAACCACCCAACTAACAATAGGCAAACGGACTCATCTGCAGGATTGTATCCCAACAATGGCGAGGCGAGAACATACGCCACACCAGGGTCGTTACATATCCACGATACTCGTCTCAATCTCTACAAAGAGAAGGAAAGCAACCACGTTGTCTATTACAACCCACTCTCCGGGGAAGAGGAACCCGTGGATCTGGAGTCACACCCCCACTTTGTGAAAATGGATGAATCGTTTCTCAAACACCTCGAGTCCCACGCTTGGATGCGTGAGTATCACATCATCGAACTTATCCCAATTATTAATGCTGTACAAACGTCGCGAAGCTTTGCATCGTCGTAGGTGTCTGGCAGTTGCTTACGGGTCTACGGGTGTGCATGCAGACACAGCGAGAGTGTTGTATATGTCTATTCATTCCACCCCACAGTTGGATGTCATAATCGGTTTAAACAGGTGTGGTGAGCAGCAATGTGGTCAACCACATTTCAGCCACGAAGTAAACCACCGCATCCCACCCCCCTCTTCGCAGAAGTTCGTGCGCTAGTCTATCACACACCAATGAAATCGAAACTCCAGCAGCGATACCAAGAAAAACCTCTGCGCCCGCAGAGGTCATTATGCGTGTACGTGGGTCCAACACGTGGTGGGTGGGGTTCTCTTAGAAAGAGGACGCGTATTGATGCCGTTTTACAGTTGACTAATACCTACCTACAGTTGAATAATACCTACCATTCCACTCTCTGGTGACTCCATTTGGTAGAGCCTCCCCTAAAAATAAACACATATTCTAAAAATAAGCCAACACGTGTCTACAATAAATAAACCAACACGTGTTTACCATACATGTTACGTCACGGTACAAATCAGTATTTCATTCCGACCAGAATCCCCACTCACCCA